CTGATTGCATTTATGGCTAGCAATATGTGCAGGGCTGCTCCTCCTCCTGCTCCTCTGGCTGCCCTCTAATGATGTGGGCGAAGTGTTGGTCCTGAAACTGCCTTTGTGGACTCAATGCCACAGCAGAAAAACGTCGGGATTGTTGTTTTCTTCTTCTGCCTCTTTGTGGATCTCCTGTCCACGAGAGAGGCAGTGAGGGTTGCATTTGGCCAACAGAGATCTATCAAACTAGAGAACAAGAAAAAGGTCTGGGAAGGGTCTTAGAAATCTCATCATCTACTACACATCCCTGCCCCAATGCAGGAAACAATTCTGATGTGTGCTAATCTGTTCTTAAGTGTGTTCCTCCAAAGATGGAGTCTGTGTAGCTCTCTGAGCAATCTGTTTCAGTGCTGCACGGTCCTTACCATTAGAGAGCTTTTTCTTATGTCTAACTGGAATCTTTCTGGCTGCAGTTTAAGTTCATATCCACCATAAAACTGGAGAACAGATTATTCTCTCCTTTAGCTACAGCTCTTTCTGTAATTGAAGACTGTTCTCATGTCTCCCCTCAGTTCTCCCAAGGGAAGTAGCATGAGCCCTATATCTTGGGAGACTTCAAATTAGATCAGGCTAAGCAGTTTAGAGTGCACTGTAGGAAGCGAAGCTGCCTCAGTAGGAAGGCAGAGTACACAGTCTAGCTGCATTTTCCATAATGACCTCTTAGAGCCTGGCTCAGTGCTTTTATCTGTATTTAAAAACACTACACACTTTCTTTCGAACAAGAAGGAAATGATGGAAAAATGAAATACAGAGAAAAGAAATAAATCTTGAAGGCAGCTATTAATTTTAGGGACTGGTTTTGTAGAGCTATTTACCATCTGCCCCATATCCCCTGGACTCAATTCTCTCGCTCTGACCTTTTCCTTAGAAACTTGCAAGTTTAAATCCATCCCCAGTCCTCTCCTTCCTTTTAAATCATGATTTGGCCTTGTACCTCTGCAGCCCTTAAAAAGTTTGCTCAGAGTATTTGTATTTTTGGTGATTCATTAGATCATGTCTGCATGTGTCCTTCCTAGTTACTTACCTGAGGGCTTTTATAGCTGAAAAAAGCAGACTTAGCTGAAGAGGCAAGCGTGCCTAGCTCTAATAAATAAAGCACATGGAGTCAATTAAAACAATGTTTAAATAATTTTCAGAAAGGAGGATGCTTGATGTTACTACATCAGAGGACCACAGTGACTTTTAAGCCAACAAACTGTGCAGGTTTACTTTCTCATTTAATCTCCAGGTCTATAAAAAAAGGCATGCTTCCCTAGCAGTCATCTACCCACTCCAACAGTTAACATGATTTTGGAATTATTTTAAGTCCAAACCATGTGAAAATAAATCCTAACTCAATTTTGTGGGATTACTTTGTTTCCATTAAATTCCTCTTTAAAGCATTTCATATGCTTGGTTTTATTATTGTTACTTCCAGGAATTTCTAAATACTTCCAAATTTGGATTGATTAAAGTTTTTTAACTTTTCCTGGCAAAAAAAAAAAGAACGCAATTCCCTGCCTACTTTCCCAGGTATTTACAAACCAAGATGTTTATATATCCATCTTAATGGATGCATACATAACACACACAGTGTCTGTGTGGTTCTCTATGGTCATTACATATTAGAAGGCAGATATATCTGATTTCATAAGTTAAACAAAATAGAGCTTAGCAAGTACTTAAAGATGAGGGACCTCCAAAAGAAATTGAGGCATAGCAAAGAATGGTGAAGAGATGTGGATGATTAAATAAATGACATCCTTTCTTCTGATTCTCCACAATAATGTGCAAGTGCTTAAGGAACAGAGTAAAAGAGAGTTAAGCAGACGGTCATATCTCTGCAGGATGTGGGGTTGGGGATTTGACCCTTCACTGAAAACAGTGCAGTGCTGTTTTTGCATGTCATTCTGTAGCTCAGTAGTGCTCTGCGTGAGCATAATATGCAGCTGTTGGTGGTTGGCGTGAGGTTGCTGCTCATACTTTTTGAAGTGACATTTTTCAGATGAGTAAACTCAAAACTTTTTCTACAATCATTCAAGGTTCTTTGGTCAACAGTGCTGTGGCACCTACCTGTAGGCAGACATAGGTATGTTTCTTTAAGTAACTATATACTTCCTCACACGTTCCACACACAGTGTTTGTTTATACTCTGTGCTTTAAATACTTGTGTTGTTTTACATATGTGATCCTATCTGGAATTTTCTATCCAATCATTTTTATTACAGTGATAATTGAAGTGAAATGCTTCAATGTAGCTGGCTTGGACCTTTGTAATAGACTTTGGTGCTCACAAGGTCACTGTAAACACATAGATTGCATAGTACTAACCTCACTGAAGTTGACTTTTGCCTCTGACCTCAGTGGAGTTGAGATTTCTTACTTTGTAATTGAATTACCTCAAGTAATAGCAGACTCATTTTTCCTTTTCCCACTGTTTTATGTTCGAGTGTCCCTTAACAGGGAGGTGACTAAATTTGCTTACACTTCAGCCTGACAAGTTGGTAGGCAATGGATGCGTGCTAGATGCATTTTGACAGAGGATATTCTGAAATATTTGCTGGCATCACCTTTCCATGAATTCTAGGCTCTCTCTTCAGCCTTTTATGCATGAGCAGGAGGAGGCTGAGGTTAAGCCTATAATTGCAGTTCTAGAATATGCTTCGTTTCTGCCTTCCGTCAGGCTGCCTGTCCCTCTTTTAATTATGAGATAAAGTCTCTGTTTCATCATTTTGCTATGAAGAGATTTGCCACAAAGCAACCTCTATGGCATAGGATTTGGCAGAGGCATGCAGGATTTGGATTATATTATCTCACAGAAAAGTTCACCGAATGCTTAAATCTTTTTCTGCCTTCCTCTGTGCAGAGGTCGAACAATCAATGCAATGTAACTCTGTACTTCTCGTCACTGCGCTGAGATGCGCAGCCTCACCCACCGGGAGGGATGTGCTGTTCACAAGCTGCCTCCTTCCTCCTCATTCCAACTGTCTGGGCTTTGTGCGATGAAAACAGGCCCTGAGCTCCACAGGAATCCAAAAGCTCTTTCAGGAGTGCAAAGACATCTGCACCCTCCCCTGTCCCTGGGTCATCTCTACACAGAACTGGCAAATCTTGGCCTCAGGCTGCACTGTCTGTAGCTATGCGGTCCTTCAGATAAGCCACAAGGGTGTCTGTGGTGTGCTGCGCTGGTGGAAGCAGAGCAGCAAAGCCCTGTGGGGCCGAGCTGCCAGACAGCTCTGCCCTCCTGCCTCCACCAGGACTGGGCAAGGGCTTCTTTCCGTAGCGGTTGTTCCTGGGCTCTGTGTCTTGCAGGGCTCAGCCAGACCTTGCTGCAGTAGCAGCATTGCTAAGGGTGGAAATTTGATGGGCTTCAATAAAGTACCAGTGCCTGACAGGAGCTGGGGGGAGGTTTACCTGTCCTCCTGTCCCATTGAGTGGAGACCACGGTGCATAGTTTTCCTTTGTCTGTCCTAACCTCCTGTGTGACGCATGATTTGTGAGCAACAACTGGAGACCTGAAACTTGCTTGCAGTATCTTCAGTGGATTGTACACTAGTATCCAGCTGTAGCCACCCAGGCCATAAATGCACCCGCCGCACTGCCCTTTTGACAACAGTTATATTTTCTTTAATTTATTATCTTATGTTTTTATTTGTGGAGCATTTGCAGTGGCTGTCGTGTTACCTAGAGAAACTTGTGTGCTCATAAGCTTTGTGTGAATGGCCCTGGGCTTGACCAGTGTGAAAAAGCAGCCGGGAAGTTTAGTTTGCTGCAGTTAGGATTACAGCCATTGCACACAGAATTTGCTAGATCGGACCATCTTTTGCTCTTTGTCCCCCTTGTCTCAAGAAAGTATCCTTTCTGAGATTTGTAGGCAAAGAAAAACAACTAAGACAAAGATATAATGGATTGTCAGGGACAAGTATTACTGCCTTTCTGAATATTTATTAAACTAAAAACAAGAATAAGAGACAATGGAGCAGTGTCTACCATAAAACACACTGATTAGACGGGCGTTTACAAGTTCTGCCTAAAATAACACTCTTGTGGTTTCCCTATTTTAGTGATTTTTCCCCCTCCTCTGAACATAAGCCCCAGTCTGCTCCCACCAAGCACCGTGGGGCAGTGGTTCTAGGCATCAATATGAAAAAAGCAGGGTGTGCACTGACTCTTCTGCCATGGGCACCCAGGTGATTTCTTTGAAGACAGTTGGAACATGCCTGTACAAATGATGAATTGCACACTGATACAGAAAATGAGTGTGTTGCTTAGATGGTCTTGTATGCAGATCTTCACCAGAGACTTGGATTTCCTAGTTAAGTAAGAGCTTTCTGTGTAACTGTGCAAATCACCTAGTCTCTCAGTCCGTTCCTTTAAAACGGAATCAGTAGTGCCTGATGCTGGGACATTGCATACCACAGTAAGTGCCTATGGCCAGTGCTACGAGAAGATGCTTTGGTGCATAGGACTCTGTCCCCGCTCTCTTCTACACCAGACATGCGTACTGCAAGCCCACTCCAGCTTTTTCTAGACCTGCCTCTGGTTTATTCTGCCACTGTGCAATCTTGAATAAGGTTGCATTTTGCCACCATGCAATCCTTTATAGGGTTGCATCCAGTGCGATACGGGAGGGATCCCCTTCCTGCTTGGGCTTTGCAGGTAAAACCTGGTTCTATACCTATGATGGCTTCATTCATACAGCTTGACAGGCTGACCGCAGAGGTGGAGTCAGCTGCCACCTGATGAAGGCAGAAATGGTCAAAATTTTCAAGATTAAAACCTGTCCTTACCCTCATTCCCAGGAAGTGCTGCCTGTTGGGTAGTTTAGGTGTTCATCTGCCACATAAGGGGTGGGTGGGAATGCTTCCTTAAGCAATTACATCTCCAGGCTCAGTGGAGAATCCATTACCATTTTTTCTTCTCTTTCTTCTTTATGTACATAAATTTGTTTTCAAAAACATGTCTTTTCTCTTCCCTAGGAGATGACCCATTCCTGGCCTCCTCCTCTTACTGCTATTCACACTCCTGGCAAGGCTGAGCAGACCAAGTTTGCTATCCCAAGCAAGGTACAAGTAGGCACCAGTGACCTGATTAACATGGTGTTCTGTTGAGTATTCTTCACTGGAGAGTTTATTTTTGTAATTGGTTTCATTTTCAAAAATTTCTAAGACTATTTTTAGTTGGAAATTCCCAATCAGTCTGTTGTTACTAGTAGGACTGCTTATTTAAAGCTGCAGAAGTTACAGTGGAAGCAAAGTGAACTTTGTCTCTGTTGTTACAAGAGCCTTTCTACATCAAGTATAGCATATTTTATTTGTTTGTTTTTCTTCCATTATTATTTGTGCAGTGCAATGGCTGAAATGGTCATTCGTTCCTACTAGTGGTTGATTGCACGGTGAGATTTAGGCTGCATGGTCACATTACAGTGGCTTAAAATGTTCTTTCATGTGAACAGTGCTATGGCATTTGTCATTGTGCACACTCCAAGGGCGCATGGAGTTGCACAGTGCGACCCTCAGTATCGGCCTTGTTAAAAGCACACACTCAGCATTTGCCACGTCAAAAGCACATGCCTGGAGAATACCTGCAGTTCACCTAACACACCGTGAATCGTTAAGTTCTCTGATCTGAACATGCTTTTAGCCCAAATTCCTTTGTTGCCTTCTAGCTACAATTCTGGTAGCACTGTTACAGATCGAGCTGATACCCAGGACAATTATGCCAGAGGCTGGGACCTAAACAACTGTGAGCTGATGATGTTTGCAGAAGGGAACAACTTTCTCCTTGGGTGGGAAATCCACACCAGTGTGACATGGAGCTACATAAATGTTTCTTTCTAATGGCAGGACCTTGGAAAATAGCTTATAAAACTGCTACTGCTTGACTTTATGGTTCAAGCAATCATATCCTGTTTCGGAAGCTGGAATGTGATTTTCCTCTCACTGATTTTATCTGTTTGGCAGATATTCTCCTGTCTGAAATGCAGGTGCCATACTGAATTGGAAATCATATGAAATTAGCAGTATCTGTGGCTCCTTAGAAAAACAAAGCCAGTGCCCAGAATGTCTTATATTAATGGAATGTGATTGTTACTGCTCCAGCACTGCCATTGTCACTGCCGTTAACTGCCGCAGCATTAAGCATCAGAAGTCGTAGTCATACAAGAATATAATCCTCATTGAAAATTGGGTTAAAGTCAGTTGAACCCATTTAGGTGAAAGTGGAGTCTGACCTGTGTGAATACAGTGATAGCAGAGGGTTTTGCCCACTGGAAGTTGTATTTTTTTAACTTATACTATCTCTTAATTTAGTGCTCTGTTCTTGATAGGCCTTACAGAAATTGGTCTAAGTCTGCTGACTGCCACTATCTCCATTTGCAGCATTATAAGCATGGGTTCAGAGAAACTAAAATTGTGTTTTGCTTTTCTGTTTCTATTAAGTTTGCTTTGAACTTTTAAAATCCACATCCAAGTTAATTTCTGGGCATGTTGAATGTTGATCCTAAAATTCTTGACCATATCACTTCAATACAAAATACAAATTAGATTTTTTTTTTTTCCAGCTAACTTTTCAGGAAATAGACAAGCATATAAATGTTTCCAAGTTTGCTCGTTTTACTTTAAAAAATACAACAGAAATGCCTCTTCAGAACGTCAGATTAAATCAATTATAGCTAGCCAAATTACAGATCTTAGACATAATGTGGCTAGGTTGTGCAGCCATATAAACCAGAGACGGGTACTATTAGAAGTTCTCAATTTAACTATTAAAAAAAAGTATCCTCATGAGAAACTTATATAAAAAGTGTGATAAAAAAGGCGGAACTTATCAGAACAATTTATCCCTTTGACATTCAAATTTTTAAGTGCCATGTTTACTCTTAGGGCATGATTTACTTCACAAGGGACTGACTGACAGCACAGTATAATATTAGGAACTAATAATGCCCTAAGAGGAAGTGCAGTGAGGGCTTTAATGACTTTAACATCCTACAGAACTAACACTTCCAGCAAAGTAGTGCCTGGCTGTAAGATGAGGTTGTAAATAACACCTTAATTTCAAATGATCAGACTCTGCTTGGAAGGAAAGCTGATTACAATCACCGTGGACTATAAAGCCTAGAGAAAAACTAAGCAAGAAAACACTGTGACATTAAAGAAGCAGCTTAGTTACTGTGAGCCAGCACGAATCCTGGCATTAACATGCTCGGTGTTACAAGCCAGATCCTTTGCTGGATTAAAGTTGTTGTACCTCCATTGATTTCATTGGATTTGGACCAATTTCCATCAGGTGAAGATCTGCTTCCTGCATCTTTATTAAATCCTGTGTGTCACAGTCCAAATAAAAACAGTGATTATCAATAGACAGTTACTGTATTTCCAAGCAGTGAGATCAAAAGAAGAAAGGCAGTGGCGCTGAATTTAGTTCATAGTTGCATTCATGGTGAGGTCTAAACTGTGCATTATAGATGGCTCATACACACATCCATGGCCAAGGCTGGAAAAGGCTAGGGCCACTGCAGGTATAAATCTGTGTAGTGTCTCCATAAAGGGGGTATGTAGATTTACAGCAGCTGAGGACAAGCTCTTGTCTGAACTGTGGAAGGTCCCTCAGTGGTGCTCTGGCTCCACAGTTAATTTTTTTTTAAAGTAATGTCACTGGTGCTGCCTTAACAATCACATGATCCCTTCCCTGTACCATCTCCTTCCCTGTTTGTGTAATGCCAGTGCCCTTAATCTAGCAAGCCAAGGTATATCTTACCTTCTTCATCTTATTTAACTAATTCTGACATTTTGTGTCTTCTTCTTTGTAGGACTCCCAACATCTGACCTCAGGATACAATGTACAAAGTAGGTCTTTATCATCCTAGTCCTAACAGTCAGGGTTGGGGATTTTGTTTTTCCTGCTTAACATCCTTAAAACAAAGGCTAAAAAATTAATTTCTATGGTGCTAAAGCAGATCAGTTCCATTTTTTATTACATTTTATGCATTGTGGCATGTTGTGAAACCAAGTATAATTAGATGGGCTGACAGCTTTGGGTGCATTTTAATTCTACAGTAATCTTTTGACATTTGAAAATGTGTTCCCTTTGTTTGCAGAGTGGAGTGATCCAGCAGGGAAAGTTGCAACTAAGTCAGTGCCACAAAAGTCGTAAGTATTATTATTTCCAGCTTTAAATCTCATTTTAAATTTATTATAAAGAATGAGCTTATTTCTCCAAAGGTAACTAAAATCTAGCTCTGCTCATAATCTTGTCCTGGTGTTCAGGTGTTCTCAGCAGTCCTTAAAAATTAGCCATAAACCAGTTTTATGTTTTCAGTGCTTATTACTGTTTCTTATTTTTAAGCATTAGCTAACAGAGGTATGTGTGAAAGATGAGTTTATTAAGCAGAAATAATGCTGATTTTAGTTGTACAGCTTGCCAAAATTAAATCACTTTTATGCTTCTCTCATCAGATACTAAGCCTCTTACAATAGAAAATGCAACCCAATGAACAGATGATGCAGGAATTTTAACATTCATATAGTGAGGGAGAGTAAAACACATCTTACAGAATGTTTCTACTAGCTGGTGTTGAAAAGCTGGTCTTGAGTTTCATACACTTTGAAACAGCTGAAAATCACAGATGATCTATAAATATGACAGTTTAAAATTGTGAAAGAGCTAATTCTCCATTGTGTTAAACCATTTTTCTTCGGTGCTTCTCTGGTACAAGGCTGCAATAATGTAGCAGGGAGTTGATTCACTTTTACTCCAGGATCTCAAAATAATTTGCAAATAGCAATTAAATAATAACTGAAAAGTAGGTTGTTGATTTTATACTTATGAAAACATGTGGGTCTGATTTCAGTTCAGAGCTCCTTTTTTTTTTATAGTTCAAGTGTCTTAAACTACTGAATGCAGAACTGCACTAGCTTAACTGACCTTTCTGTAAATACAAGGCTTTCATTTAAAGTTACTTCAAAATTATTCTAGTGGTTTCCTTAATCTCCTAAGGACAAAATTTTAAGTAAAACCCTACAGGGGAAAAAAATTCAATGTGGAGATACCGTCATAGGTTTTAAAAATCAGTTTAAATGTATTGAATCTTAATGTAAGTTTCTGTATAGGAAAGGACTTGTTGGAGTTCAGTGAGTTTTCTGTGACCATGAGATGTTGGACTAGACTAGATGTGGATGCCAAATCCCTTGGTGTACTCACCAGGCTCTGAAGGTCCAGTTCTTTACTCATAAACTCAAGTCATGGAAGTACTCGTTCAAATAGTTTTTTGAGTAAAGCTTTACAAAATTATGGTTAAACAACTAATTCAGTTTTAAAATTAAATTGTTTTTTCTTCAGATTGACTGAGAATTGGATAGGAATGCTAATGACAAATAGATTAATTTGCGTGAATAGCATTTATTTATGAAACTTAGTAAGAAATTAGTTTTTGCCTTTTGCTATTTGATTTCCAGTAATGGCTTGGAGTTTCTTAAAGAATCTAGCAAACTATACCCACTGTTCTTGGTAACAGAATGGGTGCATTCATGTTTCAGAACATCTAAGTGATCCAAACCTAACATCAAGCACATTCCATAGTAAAAAAAAAAAAAAAAGTAAAAAAATATTATTACATCTTAAAATGATTTTTTTCCTAAAGCAAGTGTATTCGGATTCCACTGTGAAAAATATTTTAGTGAGTGTACCATAAAATACAATATTTCAATAGTTTGTAACCAACAGTAATAGACTTGTCAATCATGGTTTATAGTTATAAGCTGAATTTCAAAAGAACAGTGCTTCAGAGCTCAGTGGTATATAGTGCATTTAATGGGACCAAAGCTCTCTATAGGAAGCCTGATATAAAACCCGAAGACACTGAGTACATTTTATGAACCAGTTGCTCTCTGTTCTGCTGCTTGATCTAAAGTTCCAGTACTATCAATCAGTTTTCTGCTGCAATGAACTGCCTTCTTATGGTAGGTGATAGATTTTACACATGAGAGATCAGAGCTGCAATAAAGCTACTTTTATTTTTAGCTTCCAAATGAAGATCAGCTAACCCATTACTATCACTTTTTCTCTTTTATTGCAGAAAAATTGTTAAGGCAGCTTCTAAGAATTTCCATAGGGCTTTGGGAGGTTAGAAGGCAGTCCACTGTGAGACTTGGTATTACGAGGCCAATTTGTTTCTTTAGATCTGCATGTGCAGTTACCATCACTTTCAGTGGGAATTACAGTAGTTGAGGACATAATGAAATTAAAGCAGAGAGTAGGGCAGAAAGACGTAATGGTATCAAGTAGAGCTGGATAGTGTGATCCAAATAAACTTTGATAGATTGACAACTCTGGCAGTCATTTGTATTTTAATAATATAGTATTTATCAGATTGCACTTGTATTAAGGATTTAATCTTTCTAACATTGGTCAGTTTTAGGGATATTGGAGTGTATATGTGAAATTAGTCCAGCTTACCCCCAGTAACCTTTGTTGTTACACTGACGATCACACAGCATGAGCTTACTGACTTCAGAAGTGTATCCACCACCAATTCCTTATATATTTTGTCAATGAGATCTGTTATCTGTATTTCGGTTTGATCAAATCTGGCTGAATTTGGGGTTATTCATCTGTATACTTTGTTAGAGACCTTTTAACTCAGCCATGTTTCTGGATATTCCTCAACTTTTTTAAGTTTACCTGCAATTCAAGTGAAACTTAAGTTATTTTTTCCATTTAGATTGGTCCCAATAACAGTCTTAAAGATTCCATTGGCTTTGCTAGAAATCCATAGGAATTGGTAGTAATGCACTCGCATTCACCGTATCACTGTGTTATACCATGACTAGTTGAGCGATGCGTACAGAGCAAAGATACTTCATGATGCTGTGTTCTGCTCCAGCAGCCAAGCTGCCTGTATGTCATTACAGAATTCAGGTGTAGAAACGTTGGCATCATGGAAGATCAGACCAAAAGGATGTATGATCTTTGCAACATAAGCTTTCAGGTGCATGTGTCTACGGGGAAGAATGGAGGCAACATACTGCGAAGTAGATTAATTGACCAATGTCTTGCTTTTGTAGAAGGATGCAAGATGCATGACTTCTTGTCTAAGTAAAGTTTTGTGAAATATTAATTTCATCCTTTTTATACTATCTTGATATACTTTCTTACATCCACATGCTGGAGAAGCCAAATCCCCAATGCTTTGCAGCAGGTAAAATAGAAGGTAGAATAGTTGGTATTGTGACTAAATTCTGCACCTACGTTGTACATGAGTATGTGTACATGTAACTGATCTCAGAGCTTAATTTCTACTCAAAAATCTTGAAAATGAAATTTAGAACCCTGATGTGCATGCATGTGTGTACACCATGGTGAATTTTATAGCTGAAATCAGGCTATATAAAACTACGGTACTTGGCTTCTCTCTTTTTTAATTTCAAATTCACTGTAAATCTCCATTGGGTATTGTATAGTCAGTCTACTCTGATTAGTTTATTATAAAGCACAGTAAGCAGGAACAGATAAGGTGCAAGCAAGTGCCGAGAAGGATTTTCTGTCAATTTCCATGAATTTGAGGGTACAAACTCAGCTTGCGACTTAGGTTTCTGTTATATAATTACCACTGCAAGTATGTCATCCTCAAACATCCAGGCCTTTTGTTCTGTTTTGGTTGTTAGCATTTGGCCTCTGTCCAGTTGGAAACTACCCAGAACCTTTTTAATCAAGCACATCCTGTGTTTCGAAATCAAACTGCAGAGTAGACTCGGGTAGTTTCCATAAAAGCCTAGCTAAAAAGAAGAATGTAATCATAATGGTATTCTTCCCCTTCGTAAAATTACTTCCTATACTTACTGTATTAATACAGTATTAAAAGGGCCTTCTCATGGGCTCAGTGAACTACCGGAAACCATTAAAAACTTAGAGCAGCAAATTTTTATGGATCAGACAAAACCAGCTTATGTTATCTTTATGGAGTTTTTGTTATCCATCATACTTAATGATACACAAGCTGTGTAGGGGCTAGAGAACAACTAAATACAGTGGGCTCAAAAACAAAACAAGCAGCTGAAACTCTTTATATCTCAGCAAGGATTTTTCAAAGGGGAATTCCCACTGGTTTCAGTTGGGCCAGGGTTTCACTTCACACTTCTAAAAAAATTTCAGTAAATACCGGTACTTTTCTAATCCCGAAGATTATCATAATACTTGATGGAAGCCTGTTTGAAAATGGAAATGTGCTTCTTGACATCTAACTACTTTTCATAAGTATCTAATGGCTTTTTGGAAGTTCTCCACTGTGTCAGGGACAGCCACCTGGGAGCACGGAAAACAAAATTTGGCAGCATGTTCAAGTTATGAATTAAAGGTAATTCACGGTTTGAAATGAATCAGCATGAGGTCCTTATGAAGAGTAATCAGACATCAAGAGGATTTTACACCAAGGATTGTATATTGGATAATACGACAACAAGTAATGTTGTTATTTAGAATGTTCACATCAAGAAGCACTGTTGAATTCTTAACCTTGAAAGGAATCAGCTTGAAAAAACTGGGATTCATTCAATGTTGATGCATCGTTTCCAGTTCAATCACATGAACCGAAAACATAAAATTCATATCCAACTGGAACAGGAAGAAAGTGTCTATAGCTGAGTTGCAGTCACAATCCAGCCCAGGTGTAGTAAACTCAAGAAGCAGAAATTTTAGCATTTCTAATTACAGTTTTTAATCGATCATATTAAAGTGTAAGAGTGTCAATTGATCCCACAGTGTTGATAGCCTGGTTTCTTTTATAGCATATGTTCATTTTCACTTAGCGAGTGTGGCAAGCTTTAATCATTAGACTAAGTACTGCCTGTTTGTTAGAAGTAGGAAGTTCCAAAAATATTCCCTCTGGGTAAACTGGGAAAGTCCTGAAGACAAGGGACGTGCACTACCATGTACAAATTATGATAAGTGAAACAACAGCGGCATGTAATTGGAACTCCATTAATCTTTAGAGAGCTTCAGTGCACCATATTAGAGGGACAAATAGCAAATGAAAATAGAAGGGCCTGTTTTGATAAGATGTCATTCATCTTTCATATTTACTGTTTTGTTTTGTTAGTTAGAAGTTTGCTTTGCATCCTTTTGCCTCATAAGTTCTTGGGTTTGGAGCAATGAT